TAGGCATAGGACCTTGGACTCTTTATTTATTTATTTGGTGTCTATCTAAAGTATACAAATGAATTGATAAATAAATTAGATTGTCATCATCTATTACTCTTCATCTTTTAATATTTTGAATTAAAAATTTTCATCACGTTTTATTACAAATTTTTTTTGTTCAAGTTTCCTATCAATTTTTTTCCTACTAATAAGCGAATATAAGAATCGAAGTATTCAATTATTTTTTGTGGGTTTTATTTGTCACGGTAATCTACAAATAATTTACTAATAAACCTCACAAATTTTGATTTACTTGGTGTCTTGTCTTTATTTGAAACTGATCTAATTCCATTCAACTTTGTTATATAAACCTTATTTAACTTCATTGAATTTATTATAGATTTTATCAACTAAATTAATTAGGTTTATATATCTTTGATGGATTTATTTTCAGCTTTAGTTTATTTTGGTCATTTTTAAAATGTTTATTTTTGTTTCTATATTTTCAATTTTTGTCCATTTTAGAATAATAACTTTATTTTAAACATTTATTTTGATCTTTTGTACTTGAAGATGAATTGATCTGAAAGTCACGTTCTAAAAGGTTCATGGGAGTACAATGGTCGTTTCGAAAGTTTAAAGACTAAAATAGACAGTCTCCCAAGAGAGTGCTTGGAGTCTCAGAGGTACCACATATCTTGAGATCTCAAGTTAGAACCATGTGTTGGTCACAATACTATATTTGACCCATACAACATGGGTTAGTTATAAAGATCCACTACYGAAACCCCGTGATATACATCTATTTCGAAAAATTAAAAAAGAAAAGAGAGACTAAAATAGACAAATTTTAAAAATACATAGATTAAAATGTAGGTTTGAGAACTAGATGGACCAAAACGTATGAATAAAATTGAAACTAGTATTTAGTATTTACACCAACTAATAACTTATATGGACCGGTGATCGAATTAACGTATTGGAAATAGTAATTTGAATACATATTCCAACTTTAAAAAGATGAGATTGAACCCACTCAAAATTAGAAAAGTATGMCATGTTGCAAAGGTCTGTCACATTCTTCTGGTGTATTAATCCAAGAAACAATAAAAAAGAGAGTTTAAAATTAAATATTTTTCTCTAATGACTGAAAATAAAATGTGTTACGTTATATCAGARTATCAAAATTAGAATTCTTCAAAGAGTGGAAAATTGGATCCCCTCTTTCTTTTCAAGTTTGAAAATGATGCTCCCATTGACTCCCTCAACAAGCCAACAATTTGGTTGGACCAGTTAAACCACGCCAAACACACAACAAAATTTTGGAATAAGACTCCCACAATGCACAAAGCACTCAAAATCAACCACAAGTATTGGTTTTGTTAGGGTGGGGGGTTTTTGGGTTAGGGTTTGGATTGTTAATTAAGTTAGTGCTCTTTTGCTCTGGTCAAATTCCATGCCCCCCTACCCTATTCCCCTTCCTAGTGGGAGAAAATATGCATTTTATCCGGAATTATTGCCTATTCAAAATCATCCAATCACAATTTTTAATAACACGGTTCTAAAATGATCAACTTTTGCTTTCAAAATAGTTTCCAAACACCCCTTCAAATTCAACCTTTTTCATTTGCCACAACTTGATTTTTATTTATTAAATAAAGTATTTGGTATGCAATAATGGAGGAAGAAAAAATTAAATTAAGTCATGGTACCATATATATTAAATATTGATCATATTGATGCCCTTAATGCCACGAAAAATAATTAATATAAAAATTAAATCTCACTTAATTTATAAATCTTTTTCTTACAACGTGTGGGATTGGGGATCAAACTCAGATACATGTCAATTACTACCGAGCTAAGCTCAGCTCACTTTAGTTTTAGTTTTAATCGCAAGCATTTTATCTTATTCCTAAATGTGATTTTGTAATAATCTCTTATAAAAAATTGTAATAAATTATCAAATGTAAGGTATAAAACATATATATCATGAATAAAAAATATCACATATTCGGCAAAGCGATCATATTTTAGCAGAAAATTAACATATACGTTCAACCAAKAGGTTGTGAATTTGATACCCTACCCCATATGTTGCGGACTTAAAAAAGAAAAAAAATCAAATATTTGAATTCTTACTCCAGCATGTTGCTATTAAAAAACATAAAAAAATTTGAGTCTTGGAATATTGATAAGACTCATTTTAAATTGCTCAAACTAAGTGGGAGCCGCCCTATATTGAAACATCAAATTGGAATTTTTGCAATCTTGTAGATTATTATATGATTATCACGCATGCGAGACTTAGTAAATTGACATATGAACTATGATGCCTTAAAAGAAATCTTATTATTATTCAAATACTTATTATTTTTATGTTTCTTAATGGCAACTATATATATAATTCTTCGTGCGTGTGTATATATATTAATAAGCTCACTACCGTATTATATATTTATCCTTATTATTAAAAGACTGACTTCTAAATTCTACCAAATATATCAATTAAATTTAATTAATCATGAATGCTACAACTGATATTCTAACCTTATGTGATGCAAAAACAACCTTAGATCAAATAATGAAAAATAAAGACTAATATTAACAAATAGTTATTTTTATTTTTAATTCTATTTTAATCCTTATATTTATTACATTTTAGTCTCTAAATTTTTAAAATTTTTATTCTTAAACTTCTAAGTTTATTCAAACCCAACATATGACACCCCGAATACCTCTAGAATGATATTATCTGTTAGGCTTTATTTTAATTTCACCAAAAAGACATCATACAATAAAGATAATTATTGTTATTTATATACCATGGATCACTTTCTTTCCTAGCCAATGTGGTAATTTATTTGCACTCTTTACAAACCCAACATATGTGTATTAAAACTTGTTGACGTGAGCAAGTACGAAATCATATAGGTTGGTTGAGACGAATATTAGATTGATAGAATAATAATAAAAAATCATAATGAATATATTTTGTTCAAGTTAATGGACCAATAAAATAAACCTAAAAGCTTATCAACCAAAAATAGGATTCACACACCATTTATTTTCTAGAAATTAAAGTCATATACATATATAGTATATAATTTTGAAATAATTAAAATCCCATTGGAGTTATGTTGTTTGGTGAAGGGGTTTTCTTAAGTCGTTGACCAAACACACCCAAAAATAATATGATTGCACAACTCGGCACGTTCCTATGTTATGCTGAAGCCACGAAAACCACTTCCCACCATATCAGAAAACTTTCGGCATTTCGATCAATCCACTTGTCAAAAATCTGTTGGAGCTACGTGTATAATAATTTTGTATTTCCCCTTCCGTCCACGGCTATATTATTATGTAAATTATTTTATACCTAATCCCTTATAATCCCTTATTTACTTCAATACCAAAATTGGGTAACCAATCCACCCCCCATTTTAATCATTTAGCCCCTCAATTAAGTAAAATTAATATCATATTTGACAATTTTATTTTTAATTTATTTACAAAAAAAAAATTATCAAAATTTTTTTGTTTTATGTTATATAAATTACATTTGAAATCTTAACTAATTATTTTCTTTCAAGGAAATCTTGAATTCTTACATTTTAGTGTACAATTTTTTTTTAAGAAGGTTTCTAAAAAGATTAAAGTTATAAAATTATCTCGTAAAATAGACAAATAAAAATAAATCCCGGAGTTTTTCGTTTTTTTTTTGACATATTTCAAATTAAT